TTGGAACAAAAATATACAAGCAATACATCCAGGCATAATCTTGTGCTACAGATCAACACAAAGTATCAGAAGTAACAGACAAAGCAGGAGTGATTATTTTAGTTTCGTATTTTTAGTTTCATATCACTGTATAACTACTGTTTGTTGATTTGCAACATTATCGCTTATTCCCACTGACGTCTCTTCTTCTGATTTTTTAAGAAGTCTCTTTTTTTATTCAAACATCAATCCACTACATAAATGCAACAATATGATGCTCCAAATGAACTCCTGCAGTGAAAGATCTCTGAGATTATATCTTATATTGCCAGGAATTTTGACATTATTTTTCTCATGAATTTCAACATAGGTTCTGTTTATGAATATTCATTTTTTTCCATTGAGTTTTCAATCAGTTTTACCGACAGGTACACTGGCCATGATAATGTACCACATACAATGACATTTCATATTACACTGCACGATGAATGAATGTAACCTACTTCTAATGTCATCAAGCCACATATGAGTTCATTGACAATAAATAATTATTATTTTAAGAAGAGGTAACACTGTAAGAGTGTGAGTGAGTGAGTTTAGGTTTACGCCGCACTCAGCAATATTCCAGCTATATGGCGGGTTAAAAAACGGTCTGTAAATAATTGAGTCTGACCAGACAATCCAGTGATCAACAGCATGAGCATGGATAAGCGCAACTGAGAACCGATGACATGTGGTCAACCAAGTCAGCGAACCTGACCACCCGATCCCATTAGTCGCCTCTTACAACAAGCATGGGTTACAGAAGATCAATTCTAACCCGGCCCTTCACAGGTTGTGTTTTGTGGACAAGGTATGCTTAACAATACAAAACAAAGTACGTAGATTCAACTAGTGCATGGATTATCCAGAGTACCTATGATATTTGTTGCTTGTTTGTTGATGTCACACTGGACAATATGGCGGCGGTCTGTAAATAATCAAGTCTGGACCAAACAATCCAGTGATCAACAGCATGAGTATCGATCTGCGCATCTGGAATACGATGGCAAGTGTCAAACAAGCCAGCGAGCCTGACCACCCGATCCTGTTAGTAGCCTGTTACGACAAGCACGGGTTTCTGAAGATCAATTCTATTCCGGATCTTCCCAGGTTGACATTATATTGAACAGTTCCTGTACATTTAGCCTAAATATGCATTAAATTTTGTTTTTCTTCAAAATACATCTGAATTTCTGTAAATTACATATAAAAATGTATACTGAATTTATGATGAACCATGTTCCTGCTGTTATTATACCATTATAACTTATTAATCTGACAAGTTAGTTAACACTAAATCTGTTTGGATTAACAGATTCCATGATCTAATCAAACATTAATTCTTAATGACACTTAGTTCAGTTGTTACATGAGTTTTAACACAAGTGGAGAAAAATAAAAAAGAGACAGATCCAAAACAAATCCTGAGTAAAATTTAAGATATCTTCTCATTGAGGCAGTGAGCTTCTATATTCTTATATAATTTCCAAATTCTCCAGCGATATTGCGAGGGACAACCATGACTTGCTGATTTATTACTGCAAATTCTGTCTCAGTGACTGTCTCTGTTACCCACTTAAGACATGGTGGAGAAGGAGTGTCTCGCAGCTTCGGCAACCGTATAGACTACATAACGCTCCTGACAGCTCGGACAGTACGTGTGACCATGTTCCGTATCAACATGCTTCATTCTGCATTCTTCCTGACTCTTGTGCGTGGAAGACACCGTGAATGGATCAGAGTGATAAGACTTACATACTGATATTGATTCCCAGGTCAATCTTCTTTCAACAATTGTTCTTGTATCAGGACAACGGGCCACAAATAGGGGAATGACTCCTGCCTTGACGTCACACACAATCCATGAATATTGAGCTTTAGTGTGCCTGCTTGTACTGTATAATAATAGGTACCTGTGTTTGCAGGGTATTGCTCTTGCATATCTAACTATTGACTCCTTCAGTTTATGAGTGTTCACGAGAAGGTTCACGAGAAGGTCTCACGAGAAGGTTCACGAGAAGGTTCACGAGAAGGCTCACGAGAAGGTTCACGAGAAGGTTCACGAGAAGGCTCACGAGAAGGTTCACGAGAAGGTTCACGAGAAGGTTCACAAGAAGGCCCACGAAAGGTTCACGAGGTCCACGAGAAGGTTCACGAGAAGGTTCACGAGAAGGCTCACGAGAAGGTTCACGAGAAGGTTCACGAGAAGGTTCACGAGAAGGTTCACGAGAAGGTTCACATTGGCTAGTATCATCCAACATGGATGATACAGAGACCATAGAGATGAACTAGTTATACGAGAGACAAAGAAACCGTGGGCTAGGTAGAACCCTTTCTTAACTGCATAACTTCCTACATATTTTCAAGACACACAACAAAGTTAATTGCTAAAGAAAGTATGATTACCACATCTTGGTGCATTATTGAATTGTGACATAAAAGTTATGCCCAAAATTAGACTGTGTTAGAAACAAGCAGCAGAACTGATAAAGATTATAAGTAGGTTATAAATATAGGTTAAAAATTTAACTTCTGTTCAGCACCAAAGAGCTATACAAGATTTAGACATGGTATAGTTAATTTCAAGATTCGATCCTACAGAAGATCTTAAGATGAGCATATTGCTATTGCTATATGCCCATGTTGTATTAGCACACCGGAACATGTGTACAATGTATTGCTTGAATGTCCATTATAGAATAAGGAACGACCCAAATATATACCAGCTTTTACTATGTTAACCCAAATGGCTACAATTTATACTTCTTCTACATTCCAAAACACAATTATTATTTTACATGAAGCTATATTTTGAAACAATGTCCTAGCAAAAAGGTTAAAGAGGCTATGTAAAAACCTATAAACACAGGCATTCAGCTAGGTTACATAAACATCATCTTTAATATTGTTAAACTCATGGCCACATATATGAATAAATTCTCCCTGTCTGGAGATACCTCAAAACACTAATGTTATAACTAAATGAAATTAAATTAGTTTGCACTTAAGTTTTGCTATGAAGATATTCAGTTTTCAAGTCTACTTGTCCATAATCCCAGCAGCAACCAACGTTCTGTCATCTTCAAACATTCCAAGAATAATGTCTTTCAGTGGCATTTAGAAGTTGTACATTGATGTTCAAGATATTTTATGGATTAAACTTCTTTTAATTTACAATTTTAATTTAAATTAAAAAGAGGTTTAATCCATAAAAAATATCGTGGATTCCAAGAATATACAGTTAGATACCTCATTGGATATCATGTATTATTACTCGCCCGTGGAAGATACTGCAGCGTAATAGTTTTACTGCAATATTATCATAATGGTTGACAGTTATGATGTCATCATGCTAATACCTCTGTCACAATGGTATAAGACCTTGCTTGACTCACGGAAAGATGAGAGTCATCACACTTGTAGGCAGTTTCTATCAAGTTATGTTGGAGAGTAATAAACAGAATACTAAACTCGCTTCCGTGAAATTCCATTTTTCTAAAACTCGTGAAAGATTTAGTATCAAGCTCGCTTTCACTCATTTGATATCAAATCATTAACTCGTTTGATAAAAATGGTATTACACGGAAGGTCATTTAGTATCCTCTATAAATCTATGAATCTAATGTTTTTAGGTCTCATTAAAACAGTGACAAATGTAATGTCTATAGACAAAACATTTGATCAAATAATTTCAAGACCCTTCAGGATACATCCTTCGCCACCTTGAAGGAATCCTTTCAAAGTAAAGTCTACAAATAGGTAAATTGAGAGCAACTGTTATCTTAAGGTTTATAGTTACAAGTTACCCTTTTGTTACCCTTCACTAAATCTGACAGTGTGTAGAGGTTTCACATGTTTTGTATGTATTTATTAAGGATAAATTTGATACCGTTAAAGCATAAAGAGAAGCATCAGTCTTTGCTTACATTCCACAAACTTTGTTTGGTTGCCCAGTTCATTTTCATTTCATTTATTTATTAAATCAAGATGAATACGAGACTCTCAATTATATCAGAATAAATTAAACAGGACAAAATGGTGTGAAAACAGTCATATCTACCTTTAGAGGTTGTCCAGTCACACAGATAATGTTTCAACATGGAACTTCAATCTGAGTGAGTGAGTGAGGTTAGTTTTACGCTGCTTTTAGCAATATTCCAGCAATATCACGGCGGGGGACACCAGAAATGGACTTAACACATTGTGCCCATGTGGGGAATCGAACCCGGGTCTTCGGCGTGACGAGCGAACGCCTTAACCACTAGGCTACCCCACCCACTTCAATCTGATAGTTATTGGACAGCCCTGGCATAAGTCTCACATGTTATTGTACCTATGTGATCAGCTGAAAAGTATTGAAACTGCACTTACTCATAAAGAATTTATTTCTGGTCAGTACAAATCTGAATATAGGACAATTCAAATCAATTATGATGTTCTTTAACACAAAGTATTCACAGTTTTATTCAAACTTACTGGAACTTCAGTCTAACATAATGTATGGAATAATAATTGTGAAACATCAAATTTCATTCTCTAAAATGACGATAAATAGTACCCAAGGGATTTTTGTTTCTACTTCTACAATACAATGGTTCTGAAAACTGGGTTCTCTTGGGTCCACCAAGGATATTAAAACACATAAAACATGGCCAAACAGCCCAAACTGTAACAGTTTTGGACAAGTAATGTCTTAAGTTACAAATCTACACCACTACAAAACGTGGAATTATTCAACATAACTATACATCAAAAAGAAGATTTGTATTCTTCAGTGCATCAAATTCTTAGTTCATAAAAGCAAACTGGGAAGTTGAGTATACTTGACTGTAAGATTAATATGACATCCGCAAAACTCATTCTAATGGATTACTTGATGTAAACATGACAAAATATATACAAGAAGTAAACACAAGAATATTAAGTCTTCAAGAACTCTATCTTAAATTCCTAAATGATGAAGAGCCCAATAAACTTACCTGAAGCTGGACAACTGTATATATTCCCTTAATCAAAGTGGTCTCTTGGACACAGCTCCGTAGAATTATGTGAATACCTGTGTGAGTGTTTCCTTGACCAGGAGATACATCAATAAGTCCATCCAAGACCCTCAGTACTAGCCGGCCATGTTGCATGACTGATCACTTAGCTAAGTATTTCTGGCTACAACTACGGCAGAGAATACAGTCCCACAATGCATCACGCATACACACATATATATATCGACTTGTACAATGGCGCTGGCAATCAAAATTGTATTTTAATTTGTATGGCAAAGGAATTATTTCTGAAGTAAATTCATAAAGTCCAGCTCAGTGGGCTGGTTTGTTGTCTCGAAACGTTAATGTACCTGCCTGTATGACTGGGAGAGTTTCTCTTCATCAGCAACTTCCCAGGTGATCAATATTTGTGTGCATGTACCTGTTATTGGTTGGCATAGAGACGAGTCCTTGGACTGCGTGGTACTCAGTGTTTGTCACTACCTCCAAAGGCTAGGACATTACAGCAGATGGATCAATTCCAACTGAATGCCAGCCATACCGAAAGTTGAAAATGGTTAATCATTGTGACCAGGTCATTTGGAAAGGTGACAGACTGCCAGCATTGACAGGCAGGGAGGACATGGTTTTAGTTGAGGACATCATACAGAAGTTGTCAGCGACAGCATTCAGTGTTTACTTCCAGGTCACGTATTGCACACAATTGTGATGGGTTTGGAATCAAAGTGGACATATATTGGATGAGTTTTCAGATGCATGGTCATTAGAGACCAGAGGAGGAATAATGAGTGAGTGAGTGAGTTTAGTTTTACGTTGCATGTTCCATCAATATCATGGTCGGGGACACTTGAAATGGGATTCACACATTATACCCATGGGGAATCAAACCAGGGTCTTGAGCATGACAAGTGAACACTTTAACCACTAGGCTACCCCACCACCCACAGGGAGGAATAAAGATATGAATTTTGTTTGTTTGTTGTTTAAAACCACACTCAGAAATATTACAGCTATTTTACACCTATCTGAATATGCCGGTGTGGATTTGAGATTTTAGTGATTGATACCATGAACATTAATCTATACAACAGGGATTTGATCATCAACAAATCAGAAAGAACCACATGATCTGTTAGTTACCTCTTACGACAAGCATGGGCTGCTGAGGACTATGTCTTACCTGGTTCCTCTGGTGTGTGAAAGGAGGGATGAAGGCCCTTGTGATGAAGGAATTTAAGGATGGAGAGAGGAGAGAAAAACATAGAAAATGTTTGTCGGAAGATATGAAGGGCCAACGGGGAGTGAGTGAGTGAATATTGTTTGACGCTGCAGTCAGCAATATTCCATTTACAGTGAGTGAGTGAGTGAGTGAGTGAGGTTTAACACCGCTTTTAGCAATATTTCAGCAATATCATAGGGGGACACCAGAAATGGGCTTCGCACATTGTACCCATGTGGGGAATTGAATACAGGTTTTTGGTGTGATGAGAGAACGTTTATCTACGAGGCTACCCTACCGCACCATTCACAGGAGGTTCAACCCTTTGGTAAAACTCACAAGCAGATGTATGGTATAGTCTATCTCATTGTCCCAGAATCACATGACTGTCTCCTCCACCATGCCCTTCCTGCTATACAAAAGCCCTAAACGAAGCACGTCCCGATTTTACTCACCTTCAGGAATCTCCTGAGGTGTTAGTTGGTTCTACAAGTGTTTCATATTTTCAGGGCATTAGTGCTGAGGACTGAGTACAAGGTGAGGGAGGAAATAGGAAGAGCTTGTTATATGTTACTGACAGCAAAGCGGACAATGAGGCGGTAATGAAGGAAACAAAATGACAATTAGGTCAGGGGGGATAAAGGAAGAGCCTACACAATGACTGACAACAATGATGAAGTTGATGAAGAGGATTATTAAGGATAAGATTGGGAAAGATGCGGGGACATATATGGGGCATACAGTAAGAATACAGGGGGCATGGAAAAGAGAAGGAATAAAAATAAGTTCAGAGCAGAGAAAATGTATTAAACAAATCCCATTGACACTGCGATGACATTAGCAGGGAAGATGTTCTGAAAGAAGTACTGAGATGAGGTCAAGGAAGATATAGAGGGAACATGAATGCGGCCACAAAGATGAGGTTGATAAAGAAAATGAATGGACATTAGGTCATTGGAGTGAAGGGCAGAACTATTACCAATCGATCAAGGACACTTGACAAGTCTGCAATCTAGTGCCATAAAGTGATCCATCTTTCCCACACAACATGATTATTGCTCCACAACAGTGTATTGTTTACCTAAAACCAGTGCTTGGAGGTTGGCTGGTTTTTGTTTAAAGTTACGCACAGCAATATTCCAGCTATAAGGCATCAGTCTGTAAATAATCAAGTCTGCACCAGACATCCAGTGATCAACAGCATGAGCATCGATCTACACAATTGGGATGTGATGACATGTCAACCAAGTCAGCGAGCTGGAGCATGGGTGCCTAAAGACCCTGGGGCGGTATTCATAAAGAAACTAAGATTTTTCCTAAGTCCAAACTTAAGTTTTTAAAACTGACTTAGCTAAGTCTGAGACTTAAGATGCTATTCATAAAGCTACTAAGTCAGAAACTTAGCTAAGTTTCCAAAGACAAACTAAGTTTTTTTCGTAGTGCATACCCGCGTGATCACTAGGGTGAATCCGAGTTATTTTTAGACTTCCGGCGGAACTCTTTTATAAAAAGGTGTGAAAATGGCTTTCGTTGGGATCTCCCTTTTGCTATTTACGGCAGACGACATTTGAGATACATGGTAATACATTGTGAAAAATATGTCTGAGTCTGAGATAAAGAAGAGAAAACCTAATTGGACTAAAGACGAGGTCCTGCTTTTGACAGAACTCGTGAAAACAAACTGCAGAGTGTTGGAAGGGAAGTTTAGTCCGGCGTGACGTCGGCTAAGCGGCAAGAGGCGTGGCAGGTAATGTAAACATTGGGTCCGACTGTCAAGGTGTAGTCAAGAATACAGAAATGTCTTAGACTACGTGCCACACATAGTTTTTATTTGTTTTGAATAAGTACGATTTTCTGTTCTCTTTTCTGAATTACATTGGTACGCCTATGAAACAGCCCAAAATGCATCAAACACTGGAAAAATGTAGTAGGTGTAGGTGATGATTAGCCGAGGTCACCTGACGAAGGAAAGGAACATGTATGAACGAAAAAGTTTTTTTAAGCGAACATGACCTCATACAAATAAATAGTTTGATGAGGCTACAGCATGTAGTGTCAGGAATATTTGTAAAATTTCCTGTGTTTTGTTTACTAACAATGGAAAATTTAAAAAAATAGGAAATCCTACTTTATAAATCATTTTTTTTAGGAAATTCTAGTTTATAAATATATGACTAAATATGAAAGCTTTGAGTGATATCTATTAAAGGTATTATCATCATAAGTGTAATCAACTTTAGAACAATTGATTTCAAGAATACATGGAAAATTAAAAAAATAGGAAATCCTACTTTATAAATAAATTTTTTTAGGAAATTCTAGTTTATAAATATATGACTAAATATGAAAGCTTTGAGTGATATCTATTAAAGGTATTATCATCATAAGTGTAATCAACTTTAGAACAATTGATTTCAAGAACAGGCCTACCAAAGAAAACTTTCCCACTGTGCAGAAAAACGCAGAAAAGCCCACACTAATCGTGGAAATAGCAACATAAACATAATTCCTCGCTACTGAAACAGTGAAAACGGCAACTTTAAATCGCTAACACTGCATCATCAAACGAGGAGCCCGCAACTTACATTTTGCGCATACGCACATGGAAGAGGAAGTCTCGACTGCATGTTGACATTTTCCAGCTTGGACAAAAGTTACATTCCTTTTTAAGTATTTCTGTTGTGTTATTTGGCATATATCATCATGATACTTGTGTGCACACTTGTTTAGTTTACTTTCCATTCGTATGAAACAATTTGACAGCAATTATTTCGACATATTTAATACTTTTTTTACGCGAGGCGATTCAGGGTTGCTCGGAAATTGGAAAGAAGCCCGGATCGTAATGCGCATGCGCAGTAGAAGTCAAAGTTCGCTGATAACTATGAAAACTATGAAAATGTTGCAGTTTCATAGTTTTTCGTTGCAGTTTTTACTGTTTCAGTAGCGAGGTAATGTGTTTATGTTGCTATTTCCACGATTAATGTGGGCTTTTCTGCGTTTTTCTGCACAGTGGGAAAGTTTTCTTTGGTAGGCTTGAAGAATACATGGAAAATTTAAAAAAATAGGAAATCCTACTTTATAAATAATTTTTTTTAGGAAATTCTAGTTTATAAATATATGACTAAATATGAAAGCTTTGAGTGATATCTATTAAAGGTATTATCATCATAAGTGTAATCAACTTTAGAACAATTGATTTCAAGAATACATGGAAAATTAAAAAAATAGGAAATCCTACTTTTTATAAAAAAAATTAGGAAATCCTATTTTATAAAAATATCCTTTCTCCCAAATGCTCTGCCTCTTATTTGTCCACAATTATAATACATATAGTTGATTTCTAACAAGGCCACCGGCGACAACGTCAATTATCCTGTCTTAAGCTATCGAAAGCGATCTGTGTATTGATGCTGTGGTAGTGATGCCGGTTTACAAATTCATTTTCATTTACTGTTGGGTCTTGAATCTGAACATGCGCGTCGATCACCCCCACAACTCCGGGAAAGTTTGCAACCTGTTAAAAGTTGGTCTGGTGACGCCTGATGTCACGAAGTTGGTAGTGGGAAGCGAACGAACTTTTTGACAATCCTGTCAGATGACAAACTTTGTATGCAGTCATTCACAGCTCTGGAAATGGTTGGCTGGCTGACACCTTGATCGTCCCCATTGCACAATTGAAATTTTCCGCTGGCAAAGTACCTCAATGTGATGAGCGTCTTTTGTGAGGCATCCAGTCGCGTGGTTACAGGTGGTTGTGGGCTCAACGTCTGGCTATTAGACTGGCGGCGAATCTAATGCCATTCCCATCTAGGCGGTATCGCCCGAATTAATTCTTCATCGCTGTATTCAACGAGACTTTGTCTTCTTTGGTGAAATGAACGACGCCTCAGCGCTACGGCAGCCATATTGTTTACTGACTTAAGTCAAACACCTTCCAGTTAAGCCTACCCCTGCCCAGTCTTAAGATTTAAGTCGGAAATCGCCAAAACTTAAGCCTAAGTTGCTTTATGAATATGACTTGAGTAAAATCTGAAAACTTAAGTCAGAAAAAGTGAAAAACTTAGTTTTTCCAAAAACTTAAGTCATATTTCAGACTTAAGTTCTTTTATGAATACCGCCCCTGGTCTTCA